CACAAGAACTCTGATATTAATGCTAAAAAATGTGTTCCACAAATTTCGCCAGGAAACAATGTGAAAAATACTGAAACAAATGACAGTGAAGATGATATCACTTTCTTTGGTAAGCTCGGAATCGACATTCTAAATGACGATTACGAATCCGATCCAATCATGGACTGGGATGGTGTCATTTTCAGAAGGCCAAAGCCAGAACACCGTGAAAGTTTATCAATCACCAGACAATCTGATATGACTGTTTTTAGTAATAAATGTAAACGTGAGAGTATCCAGTCTACAAAGAACTATCAAGTAGAAGATATCTTTTACCATCCATCCGGTGCTTCGTTTTCTGTCATTAAGAAATGTGAAAGTTACAAACTTTATGAATTAGAGTGTTCTTCGTCATCGAAAGTTTATGTTCGCGCGGACAGAAGCAGGCGTGTGGAGAAAGCGCACAAAGCAGTCAAATCAAAGAACTGCAACTCTGTATTCAACAACAAGGGACATAAATCATTGTACATGCACCATCGATTGATTAAAATCAATAACATCAGCCTGGATTTCCGAAAGAATGCTAGACATTCTCCTGTGCCTGCTATGACCAAATTAACTTTAGATCTCAGTGTTGCCAAAGCGGTAATCAAAGCCAATAAAAATATCCTACTCCAAAATCAGATGGCGCCAGTGCAAAATGTGAAGCACGCCCTGCGTGAGACTAACGCACCGCGCCACCTGGAGACGGACCTCGCTAGTTTCCTCATAACGTTGCAGCACAGGGAACTGACACCGGAAGACTATGATATGCTGCTTCGTCTTGATGAGTCTGTGAAGCCGAAAACGGTCTCCAAGAATATTCTCGACTCAATGCGAACGGAAACAGTTGGACCAAATGGCATAGACACTGGCCCGGATGACATGCCGCCCGTCTGTACTGTCTGCATGGAACCATATGTGGCGGGGCAGGAACGAAAGTTTTTGCCTTGTAATCACAACTTCCATACCAAATGCATTGATGTTTGGCTAAAAAATGCCAGTATGAACTGCCCACTTGATGGATTGCCAGTTGGTTTAACATAACGTAAAGATTGGTGGACACTAGTGACAATAGAAAGTGATATTCCTGTTTGTCGATCTTCTTAAATTTGGCGACTGAGGGGCCCCCGTGCCGGTGACGCCCCTTTGAATTTGAGAAGCATTGCTATAGCACACCGCCTCAAAAGTTATGGAGGGTGAGATACTGTATAAGCTTAAGGAGCAATTGAGGGTGAGAATAAGGGAGAGGAATAAAATACTTGTTGGGTGAGAGATTGAAAGAAGGGGTAGAGAGAAAGTTAGGGTGGGGGAGGTTTAAGTAAAAGGAGTGAGGTACATATGTTAGATTTTGAAAAAAAAAAACTATGACTCACCAATAAGTCTGCAGTGTGTTGTGACATCAACAAGTCTGAAGTGTTGTGCCGTCAACAAGTCTGAAGTGTTGTGCTAATACTTCACACAAGTATATATATATATATATATATATATATATATATATATTATATTAATATAATTATGGTCAGACATTCTTTAGTAAACGATTATTTTAAAAAAAGTTTTATATTTGTACCATATCCGTTTAATAATGAATGTAGATACAGGCTTATTTTGAAATGTTTAATTTATGAATGCCATTGACGACTTTTAATTAGTTTGAGTTGACACTAAAATAGATGCTTTACTTGACTTGCTATATAAGGATAATGTAGTGGAGACTGCTTTAAAGTTAATTAAAGCCATGAGAAGTTAGAAAACAAATGTTTTCTTTCATTAAAACAAAGGATTCAAGGAATTCCATTTTTTACAAGGTTTCCTGGGTAAACCCTTATTTTAATAAAATTTCAAAATAATTTGTTGGCATGTTGCATTATATTTTATATACTGGGTGTACAAATACAGCCCTAACTGAAGTCTTTTATAATACCATTATATATATATATATATTGAATATATTATAAAAAAAGTAATATTGTCAGTCAGTGAAGTAACATTTTCAGTAGTAGGGCTACTTAGTATGGTGTATGCAACAAAAGTTCTAATTGTGGGTACCCTCAAAATTCTGATTATACATATAATCTCCAGTCTTTATGAAAGAGTTAAAGCCAAACCCAAGAATCTTAAAACAGGAAAGCTTAATTCTAATGCTAGGAAGTTTTTTCAATCCTTGCTTAAATGTTCACCTAAAATTAAACAAAACTGAAATCTGAAGAGCCCGTTATGGAAATGTTTTAATTTCTGCAATTAAGTTTTATTATTATTTTGGCTCATTTTCTTGTATTTAACATATATCAAATGTGTGTTTTTATAATACATGACATTATTTGTAACACTTTTTGCATACATTATTTGTTTAGTATGTGTACTTGTACTAAGATGTACCTGCAGATAATTATAGTGTCTGGTTTGAGTAATAAAATGGCCTGAAACCAGTAATGTTTCACCCACACAACAACACATACCAATTGTACAATTAGTCTTTGATTTAGGGAAACATACTGCAAATTTTCTTATAAACATTCCTCCACTTCCAGGCACTCTTAAGAAATAAACACAATGGACAACACTTGTATCAGTTGTTTAAAACTTGTGATATTTTCAATCAGGCTATTAAAATTAATAGTCATACAATTTCAACACTGTAGAATGTTGACAGTGCACACAGCATTAGTTGAGACATTAAAATATAATGTGCTGCACACAAAATCTAAAATGACAGGACAGTGTTCGAACAAGGACCAGCAAATTCATAGTGAAACAATCTCAGCCATTTTGGAACTTGGAATTGGCTTTTTGGTTTCTGCCTGGTACAGATATTGGACACAAGTATTCATCAGTAAGTCATGTCATGTACATAAAACAAAGGAACACAAACTTCAAACTGGGGCGGTCAATGTTGTGTGTGTGTGAACAAACCAAACTAGAAAAATATAATTAAACATTGGCAAAAAAATTGAATGACAACAAAAAGACACAATGACAGCTCACTGCCACTCGTGTGGTCTTCAAATCAAAGACATAATATATATATATATTAAAAAAAAGAAGAAAAAAAAGCAAACATTGTCAAATTAATTGTCTCGGAACATGAATAATGAGATCATAAATGTGAATGCAATGCACAATGAAATGGCCGAGTTCAATGCAAATAATGAAAACAAAAAAATATAATAAATCATTCGACAATCATTAGAAAACGTCTCATCTTGAACACAAATAAGAGTTAAATCAGAACTTGAAATGAAAATGCCAAATCTAAAAAGCAAAGACACAACTCAAGTTCATTAAGAGAGAATGAACACAGGTTAGAGCTATTAAAACCACACACAAAAATAAAGAACGTAAAACAAATCATTCGTGAACGTAGTAAGTGTAGAATTTGAGCATTAAAAAAATATATTTAAAAAATGCTCTTTGTGAAACACAAAAGCAATCATATATATCAAAATTTACTGTCCAAAAATTCTTAATTGCTAACGTACAAAGTCCATTTCTTTAAACATATTTCATTGAATAAAGAATTTTAGACTTTAAATCCCTGTCCCATTAATTACCATTCTGATTTACATTACGGTACTTTGAGCTTCTGTTTTGTGCTATCAATATTTTTTACATGTACCAAATAATAATAAACATATATTTAGTCCTTTTTCAATATATAAATCTTAGAAAATGGAGAGCAAGCAAAGCCCCGTGCCACATTTAAAATTGCTGCCAATATTGTAGAAGGAATTTCAATATTAAGTAAATTAAAAAAGTTTTAATGCACATTTAATTTCTGACCATCAAAAACTAAACTTTTCATTACAACGTAATGTGCTGAAAAGCAGACAAGCTCATTTTCCCATTACAGATCAGAAACAAAACTGCAGACCTTATCCAAACTATGGTGAATGCTGACATTCCTCTTCCCATTATAATAATCCTATAGGCTCGCTTCATGTTAAAGTGACACAAAAATGATGTGACAGTTTTTAAACACCGAGCACACATTTGCAGGTCTGACACTAACTTTCATGTCAAGAATTTTGTTAGTCAAGCTGGCAACTGTTAGAATATGATGCATACTATGCAAGGTGTGGGGGGGGGGGGGGGAAGGGGGGGGGAGAAGGTATAAACACCGAGCACACATTTGCAGGTCTGACACTAACTTTCATGTCAAGAATTTTGTTAGTCAAGCTGGCAACTGTTAGAATATGATGCATACTATGCAAGGTGTGTGGGGGGGGGGGGAAAGGGGGAGGAGAAGGTTAATAAAAGCTTGACCTGAATATAGTTGGCTGCGACTTGGAAAAACCAATAAGTATTGGTCAGGAGTTGATTAGAGATTATGTTTCTATTCCAACTTGTGAGCAGTTGAAGGGGGATACATTTATAGTCAAATTGACCAGTAGTTGATTGGAAAAATTGTCAAGTACTGCAAGCTGCCAGTACTTAACTGTAGAAATGTGTGCTGCCATTACATGAATGATTAAATTAAAGAGTCTAAGAATTTACCATGGGCTAATACTCATGCAGAACATTTCAAAGTGATGATAAAGACGGTAAATATATAAAGGTCTCTCTATGTAACATAGCAAAGCTAGCTCAAGGTTCAGATTGATATAGGAGTGGTTTTCCCAAGCTTCTGATATTAAATTTAAACACCAGCATTTTGCACGTGAAAACTTTCTGCTGTACCCTGACTGCCATTTGTTAATCCCAGGCCCATGAAAGAGAAACTTTCATAACATTTTAAAACTGTACCTGCAATCATATTTAGTTTTAAAGCTGTATTCAATACTCAATCTAATATGTGTGTAATTGTCACACTACAACATGGAGCTAGGACAAAAAACATTTATAAAGAGATTCATCATAACTTGAATGACACATTCATCGCGCAATTAATGGGATCTCACCCAAATGACAGAATTTTCAGGATGCCTCATAGATGATCTCCACTAAAACCAAGAGTATGATCAAACAACTTTTGATAGCGGGGGGGGTTGGTGTTGTGTGTTTGTGTTATAATTTTCACTGTGGGTTTGGCAATAACTTAATAACAGAGTTAGAAACCCATTACACAGATTGTAAAGATAAGAAAAAGTGAATCTTTTTTGAAAACATCTTAGATATAAAATGTTTCATGGCTTTAACATATGCCAGATGTTATTTTTACCCCTGCTGTTAGTTTAATGGGTTACTTTAAGAAAATTAAGCGTTTTTGATCTTTAGTGTGTATCAGTCATTGTACATCCTTTATGGAAAGTGCCAATTATAAATGAGATTTGTGCACACATCCAGCAAAATATTTTGACAATGTGATTTTAACACCAACATAAAGTATTTAAAATCTGGAATTTAACACTTAAAAATATAAATGTACCAAGCAATTTTAAATTCCATGAACCGAAACAAACATAAAAATTTAAAAAATGTGAAATAACCTGAGCCAGCATTTGCCTATTTGTTTATATATAAAATCTCCAACATGAATTTGACCAACACATCAAGTATTAACAGTGGATCAGTTTTATTATATGATATATTCCATCTATGTTGAACCCATCCGCTCCTCTTCACCCACAATATTTTTTGTTTCAATGTCTTTCAGGGTGCACTCAGACATGCCATCAGATTTATCCATCTGGCCAGCAGGTGAATTCCTCTCTGTACACTCAGCTTGTTCTGCCATCCCAGGTGAGGATGGTTCGCTTCCATTCTCTGAGGTGCTCTTATCACCATTACTGGTGGCTGCAATTTGTTTGGGTGCATGTCCAAACCATTCCTTATCGTCATGATCGTACCACTCTATGGTGCTGAGGAATTTTTTACCACTGAATCCCCCGACAGCAAACAGGCGACGTTCAATTGTAACCACACTGAGATTTGCCCTGGGGGCATTGAGGTTGGGCCCAACAATCCAGGTGTCTGTCTTCAAGTCATAAATCTCTGATGTATATAAAGATTGTGCCCCATCACTGCCACCAACAACAATCAGAACATCTGAAGGAAAAAAAAATCAATTCATCTTCACCAATTCATCTCTAGGTTCCCAAACTCATTTTATTTAAGCAAAGTTGATTACAGAAGAAGAGTGACAGTAAAAGAAAACATACCAATACCAATAAAATATGACACCAGATAGCAAGAACGCTGTATCGCAACACATTTCAATTAATAAAGTGAAACTTGGATCTTCCTCTACTTACCTTCGATGATACCAATGCCAGCACCTCTTCGTGCTGAATTCATGCTAGGTCGTTGGGTCCACTTATCAGTTTCTGGATCATAAGCCTCTACAGAGCTGAGTGTGTTCCACTGATCAGTTCCTCCTATGGCATACACTAGGCCATCAGCCGCACACACACAGGCTTGAGAACGAGCTGAAACGTTGCCACAAGTTTAACGTTATAACATATCTTTCAAGTTCTGCAGCCCAACATAATTACAAAATATTTATCACATTGCTATGTTCCATAGAGAGACCTTATACATCGAGTATTTGCTTAATGATGTCTAGTCTGAAACATTTCAACATTATGCAAAAATATCCATCAGGGTTGTGTACATAATTTATTTTTAATCACTTTGAAACCAAGGAGGAACACCATATTTTACGGACTATAAGACACACCCTTTTCTTCGAAAAATTGCCTCTAAAATTCAGGTGCGTCTTATACTCGAAATTTTAATAAAAATGGCAAAAAAATTATTACTTTTTAAAAATTCCTTAAAAATGAAGGTGTGTCTTATAGTCCATAAAAAAAACTATAGTTGTCTGAAATGTATAAACTCATTCCTAACAGTTGCGACAAAATGCGCCATTCGGGGATTCGGACAGATGCGTCCAAATACACCAGGCGCAGAGCAACAAACCGCTTTCATTTTAAAAGTAGCACGGAAATCTCGCGAATTCAGATGATGGAATGATTTCAATTGAAAAAAAAAAAAAAAAAGGGAAAAGTTTTTTAAATCCTGTTTCATCTTCAATTTATCTGTGCTTGAGTATGGTGCATCCATATCCAGCATGTCTTCATCATTTAGTTTGTTATTAAAGATCATTTAGTTTGTTCCAAAAAGATGGCTAAGTTTTTTCTTAAAGCTCGCTTATTTTGTGTAAGGGAAAAGTTTTTTAAATCCTGTTTCATCTTCAATTTATCTGTGCTTGAGTATGGTGCATCCATATCCAGCATGTCTTCATCCGATTTTTTTGGTCGTTCTTTATCGCGCCATTTTTAAAAATTAAACCAGATTCATTTATTCTTAAACCATTATTACTTAATATTTAGAAGCTTAAATATTTTTTTTTTACAAATGATCAATTGCAAAATGGAGTTACTTCCCTAACCCAGGTATAAAAATTGGAAGGTACAGAAGAAGCACACTGCCTTCAATATTTGAATAATATAGGTTTTATAATTTTCTCTACTTCTTAAAAAGAATTTCACGGTATTTCTATAATGGGTCAATTTTTCGAAACTCGATAGATCATACCTTGATGCCCAAGTATATTAATGTTACAGGGTTTTGTTTGCCTATGATTTACTTGAAATATGAACAACTTCTCAAAAACATACCAAAATTTAAAGATGCAATTCGAGTCCACTTGTTGGTAGTGGGGTCAAAGGCCTCGCAGGTGGCAATACTTCTCTGGCCCTCGCATCCACCAATACAGTAGAGTTTGTCATTCAATGTAACAACACCTGAAAAATAGCAAAGCTACTTACGATATAAGAAAGTTTATAAGACTTTTATACTAATGATCATTTAAAAAAAAATTTAAAAAAATTATCTTTAAAATTACAATTTTAACATAAATTCTATTGTTTTGAAAATTAAATAATTGCCGGCTGCCATGATTGTTGTACATGATGTAACTTATATACTGATTTTAATTAGTCTAATTTGAGCTAAACAAACCACATTAAAGCTATAAATTTGACTTTTAAATATATCAGGTATATCCTTGTCTAATGCAAGAAAGAAACAAACCACATTAAAGCTATAAATTTGACTTTTAAATAAATCAAGTATATCCTTGTCTAATGCAAGAAAGATGGTATTGAATTCAGCTGCACATCACCCACCATGAGAGGATCTTTCCTTAAGCATGTTGGGAACATACTTCCATTTCTGAGTGGCAGGATCATATTTTTCTACACAAGAGAGCTCCTTCCACCCATCAGAGCCACCACAGACATAGAGTAGACCGTTGAGTACTGCTGCACCAAACCTTCCCCGAGCCCGATTCATGTCAGGCATCTTAGTCCACTGGTTGTCATTAAGTGAAAAAGCCTCAACACTTTGGAGACACTCGCCTCTGTCATAGCCACCTTTTAATGCATTAATATATATATATATATTTTTTAAAAAAAAACAATGACCTCCCATTTTTTAAAAGTTATGTAAAATTACTACTAAAATTACCCAATTATATTAAAAAAATAAATAACAGATTTAATGGTTTTAACGTTTGTCAACTTAATCTATTTATCTTTAGTGTCAATTTTTTATCAACATACCACACACAACCAATTTGCCATCCAGTTCCACAGCACCCAGAGCACATCTTGGTGTTGACATTGGCTGCAGTGGTGTTATGGATGCTTTCCTCAGGATTGGACTCAGTCTATGCTTGCCATTGGTGACAGCTGGGGGTGTGTCAGGAGCTGTGTTGCTTCCGCTGGAGTCACCGTTTGTAGGAACAACGGGGCGGACATGCACGCTGATAGCCATCAGACGGCCATCGAGCAAAGCTATGGCTAGGTAAGCATTCTCTGAAATAAAAACAGGCAAGGGCTCAAGAAAATGCCCAGGCAGGGAAGAAAATTCCCCAAATTTATGGCGTGCATATATATTTTGTTTAAAAATGAAATGCTAATCACATTACTATTCTTATGAGTGTAGTGTTTTCAGCACTAAAGACCCGTAATGTGACGAAGGGTAAATCAAATGATGACAATGTGTCTCACCACTAGTTTTTCGTGTAGCCACAATGGACCACTCTCTCTCTGCCACTGAGACAGCCTCCTCAGGATTGAGGCTGAACTTATGGAAAGCCTGCCCATTACCATTAGTAGCAGACCGCTGACTGCCTCCTTTCGGTTGAAGTTTGTTCTGAAGTAGTTTTAAAAAATGACACACAACATTTGCATACACATAAGCATTTGTGAAAAAAGTTATATGTAAAAAAAAAAAAAGTATAAATAACATAGAGCTATCTTTTGCTAAAAGGTAAAATATGTTCTGGATTTAATTTTTTTTTTTTTAATTAAGTTTTTAGTGGCTTCAAACGAGGTTCACAGTGAGGGAATTGTTGCTGGGATATGTGCACTAGGGTCATGTGCCGGTATCAATTTAGAACTAATACTGTTTCGCCTACAAGTATTTGTTTAGTATTTATAATTACTACCCTATTTTATTTTTAATTAATAAAAATCAATATTTATTTTTTAATATGCTAATATATGCATACATATATACACACACACATCTAAGTCATGTATTTGAAAACATGATATTCCAAAATGAGTTATTATTAAATTATTATGATAGATTTGAAAGCGACCAGATATTTTATTATATTACATAAAAAAACATTAACTAACTTGAGTTACTAATAAGAACAAAAGGAGTAAGAACTTTTCTGAAAATTCAGATTTTCGAAAAGACTGCTCATGTATGTTTTACCTACCAAATATGAACATTGTACGGGCTCAAAAATAATTGAATAAAATTGCACACATTAACTGTTTTGTCCTGGCTTTTTATTCCATTTTTAATATAGCACCAGCACATACAAAAAAAACAAACTAGTTCTGCACACAAAGTTAAATTTGTGTGCTACAGAGTAAACACCTTCATGGGGTATCAGAGGATGCACATGTAGCTGGAGTGTTAGCATTCAAGCCTGTTGGATTTGTACCAGATATGTGCCTACAACAAATCCTCAGTGTGAACATTGCTTCTGGGCCAATATTTGGATTACTATTAAAGAAAATAACCAATGAATGGATGCTTAACAGGGAATCTTTATCACAATTCAAATCCTGAACACAAAGACCTTTTAACATAAAAAAGAAGCCCTAGTAAATCATGCCAGACTAGACCTACCCTTCTGCGAGCCTTTTTGTAGTCCTGAACCATATCGTCATCACTACTTAGTACAGTGTCCTCCACATCAGCACAGTCTCTCAGTGTGTTGTCTGATTCCAAGTAGAGCACATTCACCTAGTGGAAACACCAACAGAACTTCAAACCCTTGCACCAGAATCTATTTATAATGTTGTTGATAATCTATTTATAATGTTAGTAAATTTAACAATCATCAAAGCGTTATAAAAATGGTCATAAATCAAAAAAATCTTTAAGAAGTCTTAAAACATAATTGGTTTAAAAGATATTCAAAGACATTTCAGTCCTGCTGAATTCTCTCAGGAGAGAGATAATGGTATTAAATGTCCATTTTAAATTTACCTTTTCAACCAAGCGATCCATTTTTGGTTTCAAGTCATTCAGATTATTTTTGGCCCAATCCAAGACCAATGAAAATAGCCTGCGTTCCATTGCCTCATTGGTGATACTCTCATCGAGTCCTAGAAGAAAATACAAAAAGGTTTGCTGTACCAATAATATAATTTCAAATATTACATCCATGATACTGAAATATGGACTCTACAATTACAATTTAAAGATTTAATAAAACTGCTTGCACAATTGCCCACCTAACAAGAACTTGTTTCCAAACGACTGTAAAAATTTGAGATTGTGAGAAAGAAAAGATGAACACTACTAACCCACAACCTCAACCTGAAGGTCAGTGAGCCCAAAGAAGGACTTGCTCTGCATGATGTCTTTCAGGTTAGACTTTATGTACTCATCAACCGCTAGCTTGAAAGCTGCATCTTTTGTGAAGCGTCGGATTCCTGGAGTAGAATTAAAAACTTTAAAATCTTAAAATACAAATTCCTATGAAAAAAAAAAAAAGCAGCCATTTCTAAAGCCATGTTGTCTTCAAAATAAGATGCAAAGCAGCTCTGTAATATATAAAAAAGAAAAAAAGAAATGTTTTAAAAAAGAACTATGGAGGACTCTCTTTAAAGCCTGCCCATTTAAATAAACCTGCTTCGTGTGACAATGGAAGTCTCACTGAATAATAATTCTATAGACAGAATGAAAGTTTGAAAATACACGAACTGGAAAATGCCTACATTAAACATGAATTGAACCAATGGAGTAAATGTAGTGAATTTACATGACTGCAAGTTTTTGAGCTTAAACATGAAATTATTTTTTTAAACAAAGATGTATGGATCATTAATAATTATTGTATCTTAAATTGTGGCACACAATTGAAAACATACTTCCCCCTGCAAATTAAAAAAGAATAAGTCATTATACAAAATGTTACTTTGTTAAGCCGCTGTAAAAAAAAAAAATAGTAATTGAAATTACTGATGACCACAGTCCATCTAGAGCACCACCTAACAAGTTAGAATTTTTAGCCTGATAAAAATGTTTTCTTGAAATAGAAGAAACAATTTTTTATCAGTCTGCAGGTTGACATGCTTCGAAATGTCCTGAAATTATTACCTACATTTGATCAAAGGGAGGAAAAAATGGAAACCATTAAAAAAAAAATATAGATTGTTTATTACGACAAACCCCAAGCATAGGTAGACGGATGCTAGTCACCTCAGGAAGGTGTTTCAGAAAACTATTGTCTAATGTTTGGCCTCACCTTGGTGACAAGTCGACCTCTACTCAAACAGCCTCCGCATCACCATAGCATATATCTGGATCAATATTCCTCATCCTCCAACAATCCATCTTTCTCCTCTCCCTTGATTGATTGCGTATTCAGACTTAACGCTCATCTGCGTGGTTTGGGAGGATATTCAGAGGGTGGGGCTCATTAGTAGATCACTGACTTTTTTTGTGGTGGTGGTATTCTCAACAACACAATACATACATTGAGTACAACCTTTGCCATCAGACATTTACAAAAGCAGATTTTAGTCTTATATCTGTCCATATTACTAGGTAAATTACAGGCTCTCAATGAAGCACTCAATGGAAACAGTGAAACTTTAAAGGGAAAAACGACATGCACAGGTCTGCTGCGCTGAAGTTGATGGCAAAGGTTAACCCCTGGGTGCTTGTTATAAGGACATAAACAAATCAAAATGGTAAAAAAGTGGGTGAATGGTGGTCATATGACCGCTATGGTGATGCACTGGTCAGCTTCTGCCTTCCTGTTCCATCTCTCCCAGAGATGGAGGGCCAAGAGAAAAATGTGACTGCATGACCGCACCCTCCTCAGAAGAGAAGGGGGCTGGAGAGAGAAATGTAAGAAGAGTTGTTGATACCTAAACAGTTAGCAGCCGTCAAGTGGTTGGCCAGAAAATTTGCACATTTCCCAGAGGCAGACTCCATTTTCAGCACTAGGGCGGTGGCGTGCACAACAGGCACATTTTCAAGAGGAACATGCAACCTAATGAAAGAAAAAAGATATAAAATAATAGATAAAAAATTATTTCTAAAGTGTGTGTATGGTTGGATTGCACTTATGAATTTAAGTGAGTAGTACCCACACAGGAGCATGTGACAGTGAAACAAGATTTAATGGCAGTATAAAATTTGAGTTATATAATTTTTTAGCTAACTATATACTATAATACTATGCATCTCCCATTATATAAAAAAACACACAACTTCCCAGTCGGTAATACGCTTAGCACTTTAACAGATCAAGAATATGCACTAAATTTGAAATAATACCAACTGCACATGCAGACTCACCTTCCAGTGTACATGTACTCCAACAGGTAGTAGAAACCTACGTAGGGAATATTCTTCAGTTTATAGGTGGGGAGTGGCTCAGTGGTCTCCTCCAGACAGGAAATAAAGTCAAACAGATAGGGGCTGCATGACGCAAGCACCCCCCGGTGGGCCTGCAACTCATGGTCCTCAACGACCAGAATGATGTCACAGAACTGACCCTCCTTTCGCAGCTTGTTGATCCCAGCAAGGACGTTAGACGAGTGCTGGGTGTCTTCAGCATCCAGGCATATTCCTTCATGATTGTCCAAATCTAATGGCTCCTGGGGTTCATCCACACCATTGGCTTTGTATGATCTGCTCTTGAAAGTGTAGCTGCTGGTGGCATCCCCCTCGCCATATTTGAGATTGGGGTTGGTGGAGGAGAGTTTGGAATTATTCAAGTACATTTTGGCTGACTCTGATGGGGGAGTCTGAGACCCTTCGCTATCTCCCAAAAGTTTCATAGATTAAAGCAGGCACCTGAACAGAAATTAGAAAAATGTCAGGAATGACTACAATTTAGTTTAACATTTAACACTAAAAAATATTTCTTTCAAATTTTTTTTTTTTAAATCCTACTCTTGGGGCATTCCTATTGACACCCCTAACCATAAATTAATTACAGATTAGTATGAACAACGCTGAATAAATGTCAATTTGTATTGCCACTTTATGCTCTATCTTCTATCAAGTTCTATATGAATCTATTCTCCCACAACCATATTCTGTTTCTTAGTAGAAATTCTGAGATATGCAAGTCATAGTACATTATGATTAGTTCATTTATGTCAGAAAATAAGCACTACCTACATTATGAGATGTGAAAACAACAGTACATTATTTAATGTGTATCAGGCAGTTCTCTCTTTGACACACTAGTAAGTGGTTTTTATAATGTATTGCTTGTGATATTAAATACCTGTACATGCTAACTAGAATCCCACAAATGGTAAAACCTTGGAGTCAGGGCTAATAAACATGCCCTGTCAGCTAGGCCATTATGATTCCTTAAGCCGGAATAAACCAGTTCACATAATTCAACACAACTACCCTATATTATAATTAGCAGCCCTTAGTTTATAATTGGTTATAATGAAAGGATTCTGCCAATCAATGTTAATGAATTTTTTCAACAATGTGTTTAAAAGTATTGTTAACTGTTTTATGCGGCTAAGGTCTCCTGTGAGCAGGCGAAAGATTATGTTCATGTCTTTATAGGCAGTTTATTGGGCTGGGCATCTTCATGTTGAGCTCATAGCTTTCTCTTAATGATATTAAACGCAATAGCAGTGGTACACAGGTTCTTGAGCATTTTCAAGCCACTGCAACATTTATACCTATATAAAAAAGTGACTCATTCTCATACAGCAATATACTGGGAAAATTTGAGTATCGTAAATTCTTGGAAAAGAAAACTAGATCTTACAGTCTTGCATTTAACTACATATTTCATGCCATGATTGAAATAAAGACACAAAATAAAAAAAGGAATCTATTTTAAAAAATCAATATTTCTCTTAGTATTTTGTTTCAGACGGCAGCGATCCAGCAGAAATCTCTTCACAACAAGAGAGAGGTCACATCCTATGAGCTGGGAACATGTGCTCTAATAACTTTTGTATCAGGCGCTTTATGTTCAAATTACCTTCATAATTATTATATATTTTTTCTTCTTCCAAAATCTCAAAATCAACTTAGTAAGACATGTACATATTGCCAAGGGTATGAGTATCACTGTTGTTATGTTTGGTATGTAAAAGATGTTTAATTTGGAGATTTCATGTGTAGCTGTATCTATTGTGTGAGATTGTTGTGACGTTTTTGGGTAAGGGGAAATGATGCGTTCTTTTTATTTGTTAGGGTGGATAGATGGTGGATATACTATATTGACTGTTTGGACTTGTGTGTTGCTTAGTGTTTGGCTGGAACTAATCTGAAACCATGGTTAGGGAATTGTTAATAAATAAACTCATATGTTGCAACAAACGGGTTGGAGTTGGAGTTAGTTGTATTAGTGGGTGTTGCTATTAGATTAAGATATACTTTCTTGTGGGATGAAGTGAAAGACTTAGCCTAAACAAGTAGACACTCATCGCCATAAGTGAATGAACACAACACAACAGGCTCAACAGCTCATCACATATATGAACACATGTATAACATTATTAATTATGTTAATTCTCAAGACAACCCCTTGTTACAAGTTGCTAGAAACATTGGTTTGTAAATATTGCTTGACAGATATAATGAAGCTATTAGAGGCAAGTGAAAAATCCATTAACTTTAACATAGTTTTTCATTCTTTAATAGTCAAATGTAACTAAACTCTTGCATAGTTAAATTAAGTTTACAATAATATTTTAAATTGAATTTATTTCATCCCAGGATGAGTTTCTATAATCCTGATTTACCAGGATGTGACTATCCTCTGATTTAACAAGTGTACAGAAGTAAAGCAAACCACTTTATATCTTTGTATTATTCATTCATATCCTTGAAAACTTGAAAGGAGGGAACTGGGCAAAGGACCAGCCATAAATGAAGTCACACAAATTTTGCAGATTTTTTGGACCCCCCCCCCCTCCCCACCCCATCACAAAAAGTTAGACCTGCATCAAATATGTCACTAATCGCTGCACCCCCCCCAACCAAAATTTAAATTCCATGCGTCCACTCCAGTCCTTTACAAAGCCTTAAGAAATGCACCTCCCAAGAATATCAAATTCATGTGCCTGTGTCAAATACATTTCACTAGAACAGTGGTTCTTAACCAGGAGCAAAGGTACCTCCCCAGCCCTGAGTACGGAAAACCAGAAAATTGTATTTGATGCCATTGCTAGTTGTTGCTAAGAAAAAAAATATTATGTTATGCATTTGATTAGCAACAGTAAATTATGTCTTTCTGATGAATTTTTGGTAATTTGTTGCCATTTTTTATAGGGGATGTGTGTCTTTAAAAAGGAGTGGGTCTGCAGCGTCGCACATAGGTTAAGAATCCCTGCCCTAGAGCATTTACTAAGAAGCCCCCGACCCAGTTCAACTTTTTTTTTCCGTTCCATCCCACTTCACGTGGTCGTCCTAATTCTAAGACTCCAGTCTCCACATTTTGACATAAATTCTCTCCACTATCAATGTCACTACACTAGGGTGACCAAATCATGAACTGGAAAAAACCTGGTGTGGGGGGGGGGATACCCTCCAACTAAAGAGGGGTACAGGGGCCTCCCAGAAACTGTTTATTGAAATATGGTAATTTTAACTATTTTGAGACCTAGAAATCTTTTAAAATTTACTGTCACTTTTGTAATTTAATTTAAACTCTGAGGCATATCATAAACGAAAACTATTATTTTGCAGGGAATACTTATTTATACATATTTTACAACATAATAAGATCTAAGGCAGGGACACTGACGTTTAAGCAGCATCGGCAGAGTGGTGGAGGGGGAGCAATGCAACCATCACGCGAGCCCACATCACTACTGGCTACACAGCTAGCCAAAATATTACTTGAAGATATATTAAAAATTTGCAAGTTTTAGTGATTTGAAATTGTGTTTGGGTTTTGAGACGGGACATTTTGGTGTCCCTGGAGACTTTTTCGGGACACAGGGTGCGATCGTGAAAAAACTGGACAATCCTGTTTTTATGGGACGTTTGGTCACCCTACTATACATCCATTTTCTCCTGGTCCATCGCGCCCTGTAATTTGATCAGAGTCCATTTTTCTGACCTCGCATACTTGTACCGATTCTTTCAGTGATCGCAGTTTAAAATACCATAATTATAGTTGTTTTATAAAAGAATAACTTTAGAAATGTCTGTAATTTAGGGTTATTAAGTGCAGATTTTTAATATAACATTCAGCTTTTCATGTGACGGCACATTGCTTAAGCCCCCCCCCCCCACATCATCACAAAAATGAATCTAAAATACCCTAATTATTGTTGTTTTATAAAAGAATAATTTTAGAAATTTCTTTAATTTAGGGTTATTAAGTGCAGATTTTTAATATAACATCCAGCTTTTCATGTGACGGCACATTGCTTAAGCCCCCCCCCCCACATCATCACAAAAATGTGACCCCCCCCCCAACCGCTGCGCCAACGTTCCCTTTAAGCTGCGCAGCTAACTCAGACACAGCGCAGCAGTATTGAGTATCCACGCAGCGAAATTCCATGTGCGTGTTTTTGTTTGTGGGCTGTAAAATTTTGCACACTCAAAAATTCATGCTGTAAAAATTTGCAACTGTACGATTTTGCACACAAACCAGCAAACCTTAGAGGGAACATTGCTTCCCCTCGCCCCCCCCCCCCCCGACATGTGACGTCATTTATGGATGGCCCCAAACCCCAAAGGATGAATCTGTCTGGAACTGGATGATAAAATTTGTAGCCCACTTAGTGCAGCTTAGTAGGCCTAAGCCATCTCAAGCAAGAACAAATGAATGTATCAATCAATGATAAATCATGCATGTTTAAAAATAATATTTTCTGAAGTTTCTGTTTAATATTCCTTAGTCTTTGGGTCTGAGTAAAAAAGATATTGATATTAATGATATGCAGCTGCTGGGGATAATATAATCTTAGCAGATCAACCAAACCTCATTTTCATACGCGCTAAAATGCACTTGCACCTTTTTTGTCTGCACCTTTTTGTCTACGACAAAAAAGCGGTAAAAAGTTTCGTTACTTTCTTACAATAAAATTAAAAAAATACAATAAAATAAAATACATATAAAATATATTTATAATTTATACACAAATCACAATCATTCTAAATGACCTAGGCATAGTCATAGTCCTATGCCTATAGTATGCCTGCTAATTTATCTAAAAAAATTAATTATAAATGACAGGAGTCGGTGACAAGTAAGACGGTGACGCATGACGTTAATAATGGTCATACAATAAGTTACTACTAATATTGACTGTTCTTGAGTATATTCGATGTTAGGTACTTTTTAACACCATCACACAAAGACGCCTAAGTTATGACGTGTATTAGACAGAATAACTTACTTTGACCATACTGAGCTAGCAAAAGAAAACAAACGGAAGTATATCCTTCCTTCCTTGTGACGAGATAACACATAGACGGCGGGAAACCAAGGCTGTGGGTATCCGCCAGTCACAGTGAGCGAGTCGGCTACTGACACTTCATCATCATACTCATGGTGTTAGTATAATGGCTCTAGTTAATATTAGGATTAGTTGACCGCTTCTGAGAAAATATCGCTAAATTAACGACGTTCTTTACAAAAGCCAAAATTTAAAAAAGCAAGTGCAGGGGATATAAATATAATTTATATAAAATATTCTGTCTGAACAGCAAATTAGACAGTAACGTCTCGCTATCAGCCACACTATTGGTAGGAGGGACTCACGACACGGTGCACCATTCATTAACTCTAACCGGTTGCCGGTCGCTAAGTCGAGTAGGTGATATATGCTTGAACAAAACTAAAATTGGCAAATATTATACGTAGATGGCATGTACTTAATTTAACATGGCGTAGGCCGTAGGCGTGAGAATTGGCGCGATTTTTTTCTTGAGCTGAGCAATGCCACATAACTGCCCGGCCAAAAGTATCACAAACAATAAATAATACTCACTGTCATTAAGGATACTTCTAATATTAATTCATTAACAAAATCTCAGGTATATTCCGGTCGTTTGAGACAACTAATCCAGCGAGATGGGGTAGACAACTGTAAATATATGCGGTCGGCACCACGTGTAACTCGCGCAGCCTTAAAGGATAACACATGACGACAAACTGCGCGCGCAGTAACTGGGGGTTCACAAGCCACGCCCATTCTTTACTGAACTTATGTTCGCCCTTGGCTGTAAAAAAAAAAAAGTGTTGTTTTTTTTGGCGCAGTGAATCTAAAATTTCTAAAAGTAAACCCCCATTCTGTCTCGTTTCTTCTTGTTATTTTTAATCTGTTTTTACTGGGTTTTTTTCGCTGATGAAGGCTTCTTGCCGACTCGTTCGTTTTTTTTTTTGTTGTTGCGTTCCCTCTTCAGGTTTTCCCATTCTATGTTTCACTCGTTTCCTTGTTTCTTCCCCGAGTTGTATTATACCAGTCTGTAAGCATAAGTGACAAATACTCGTGGCGACCTCATGCCTCATCTCTTCCCTGTTTTATATTCATGATTAGTCCATCTGTTGGAGGTACTCAAAACGACATCACCCCTTTGCCGTTTCTAAATCTTGTAAAAAATTGCCGATGTCTCAAATAGAATCGACATCCGAATTCATTGTACTATCTTGAATCACTAAGTTCACTAAGAGTCTTCCTCTTGGGCCCCCCACCTGTTCGACACCCTCTGTTATTTATGCTTATCTATAAAGCAACCCATTTGAATATGTTCATTTCACTGTGAATCAAACAACCCCTAACAACAAAGTGTTCCTCATAAATCCTTGAGCGTTTTTTTTTTAATTAGTTGATTTTTATTTCATATTAATAATATTCTAATGTCCCACCCGCTCATTTACACAGCAGTTTTATTTCACCAAATATTGCAGAAAAACAGAAGAAAATATTACGCACCAAACGCACTAGCGATAGATCTATACAGGTATTTAAAAAAAAAAAAAAATTTAGCGCAGTATCGGGAATTTTATTTCATGAAATTGGGGGCATAATATTTCCTTCATCTTTCCTTTTAAAAAACATGAAAAACTTCTCGTTTTTTTTTAATGGGGGTGGGGGAGGGCGCTGAAAATTTGATAGAATATGCTGTCATCGGCAACGAGTCTATGTGCCAAGTTTCAGTTCGATAGGCTGACCCGGGGGGCGGGGGAGTGGGTCAATTAGCCATCCGAAGATTTTGCCCTACACTTACAAAAACGAATTTAATATAAATTAAAGGGTTTAAAAGAACGGAAGCAAAAATTTCATATTATAATGAACATTATTTGTCAGCAACAACAGTACAAACTTGTTTTCTCATAAGTGTAAGAACCATCGTGTTATTTTATTACCGTACTTTGAAAAAAAGAAAGAAAAAAAAAGGGGGCGGGGGGGGGGGAGAGGGGTAAAGACGAACTTCAGCCTAGTTCTACTGACAGGCTGGCTAAAAACTTGTGGTGGGGCCCGCTTCTTAATCACATTACAGTTACTTACACTCGTATACTTACATCAGCATAGATTAGGAATATGGTCACCTATTAGGCACAATGGTCACCTATTAGGCACAATGGTCACCTATTAGGCACAATGGCCACCTATTAGGCACAATGGCCACCTATTAGGCACAATGGTCACCTATTAGGCACAATGGTCACCTATTAGGCACAATGGTCACCTATTAGGCACAATGGTCATCACCTATTAGGCACAATGGTCACCTTCCTTAGTACTTTAACGAAATTGACCACATATTTTAATTTTAGGGGACACCCGCTTCTCATCCGAGTCGAAAAAAAATCGAGCCCGTCATGACAGGAATGGTAAGTTAATCAAACTCTTTCCAATCCCTTTGAATTTATAGGTAGGTTGGTGCGCCCCCAATTGCCCCTTGACTGCATCAATCAAAGACCAAAATAAGTTCTGGTATTAACACAGTATCTGTCCCTCGCGTTTCCAACATCCGAAACGTGTGTACATGTCGAAACGTTGGTACAGTGCACATATCTTAATGTTTAGAGACACTTTTCTAAGAAGTGCCAACAACCAGTGGCCCAGTTGAAAGAACTGTAAAAACATGGGGGGCTGACCAGTGGTCCAGTTGATAGAAATGTAAAAACATGGGGGACTGACCAGTGGTCCAGTTGATAGAAATGTAAAAACATGGGGGACTGACCAGTGGCCCAGTTGAAAGAAATGTAAAAACATGGGGGACTGACCAGTGGTCCAGTTGATAGAAATGTAAAAGCATGGGGGACTGACCAGTGGTCTAGTTGAAAGAAATGTAAAAACATGGGGGACTGACCAGTGGCCCAGTTGAAAGAAATGTAAGAACATGGGGGACTGACCAGTGGTCGGTCCAGTTGATAGAAATGTAAAAACATGGGGGACTGACCAGTGGTCCAGTTGATTGAAATGTAAAAGCATGGGGGACTGACCAGTGGTCTAGTTGAAAGAAATGTAAAAACATGGGGGACTGACCAGTGGCCCAGTTGAAAGAAATGTAAAAACATGGGGGACTGACCAGTGGTCGGTCCAGTTGATAGAAATGTAAAAACATGGGGGACTGACCAGTGGTCCAGTTGATAGAAATATAAAAACATTGGGGACTGACCAGTGGTCTAGTTGATAGAAATGTAAAAAACATGGGGGACTGACCAGTGGTCCACTTTAAGTGGATTGAATGTTAAGACACAGGAGACTGACCAGTGGTCCTGCTGATAGAAATGTAAAAACATTAGGGACTGACCAGTGGTCCACTTTAAGTGGATTGAATGTTAAGACACAGGAGACTGACCAGTGGTCCAGCTGATAGAAATGTAAAAACTTGGGTGACTGACCAGTGGTCCACTTTAAGTGGATTGAAATGTTAAGACACAGGAGACTGACCAGTGGTCCAGCTGATAGAAATGTAAAAACATTAGGGACTGGCCAGTGGTCCACTTTAAGCGGATTGAAATGTTAAGACACAGGAGACTGGCCAGTGGTCCAGTTGATAGAAATGTAAAAACATTAGGGACTGACCAGTGGTCCACTTTAAGTGGATTGAAATGTTAAGACTCAGGGGACTGACCAGTGTTCCAGTTGATAGAAATGTTAAGACATGGGGGCTGACCAGTGGTCCACTTCAGCAATTTTTAAAACACTGCCTGTTAGAGTCAGGATAAACAAGTAAATTACGTAAACAGGAGCTGTGTCAAGATTTTTCTTGCATACGGTCGATGACACGGCCACAAGATTTGCGGGAATTCCCGTGTAAAAAAAACTAAAATAAAAAAAAAAACTATAAACCTTAGCCTTAGAGCAGGGTTCTCAAACTCAAATTATCCGGGGGCCGCAGGAGGTAGAGTCTGAGTGAGACCGGGCCGCATCAAGTATTCCAAAAAAAAGCGATTACAAATTCAATTGAGTACAATTGTTACAATGTGCTCATAACAAATAAAAACATTAAGTGTTCTAAAAAATAGGCTTCATTTACTTCTCCTACTCCTTGTTGCCATACACCTGGAAGCGATTCTACTTACACAGCTTTAACTTTAAGGCCCTGGATCCTGTGTCAGATGGCTACGATTCACAGGATTATAGTTGTGCATTACCCACTAACCAACTTTTTAAAACGTTTGATATATGTGTGTACCGTATATAGACCGACCGAAAGTGATTTTCTGATTTCGACCGAAGCCGAAAATAGGGCGAAAGTTTAAAATGACTTTCGGCCGAAACCGAAAATATGCCAAAAGTTTAAAAATGACTTTCGGCCGAAACCGAAAAAAGGCCGAAAGTTAAAAATGACTTTCGGTCGAAACCGAAATAATTAGATATTTTGAAATTCGTTCTGCATATTTCGAAAATGATGGGGGAAAGTATAACTATTTACATTCTTTTTATAAAAAATGAGATAATCGTGAATATTAATAAATAAAAATCTAATATAACATCTTGTTGTTAAAGATCGCTTAGTTTGTTCATAAAGATCGCTTTATTTGTTTTTAAAGATCACTTAATTTGTTCTAAAGATCGTTTAATTTGTTATTAAATGTCGCTTAGTTTGTTGTTACTAATCGCTTTTGCTGAGAATTAGATGACCGAAAACATCAGTCGGCCGAAAGTCTAAGTCAATTTCGGCCGAAACCGAAAAAAACCCGAAAGTTAACTTTTCTCTTTCGGCCGAAACCGAAATTAAGCCGAAAATTAACTTTCAGTTTCGACCGAAACCGAAACCTGGCCGAAAGTGATAAAATGGCCACTTTCGGCACCGAAACCGAAATTCGGTCGGTCTCTAATACCGTATTCAAAGCCTGTTTTCTCAAAGGGGTAAAACGCGGGGGGGGGGGCCAAATTAAATTCAAACTTTACTGTCAGGTATCGGGCCGAAAAATATCGCCGCGAATTTGAGACCCCTGCCTTAGAGAAAAGCACCGAAACCGAAATTCGGTCGGTCTCTAATACCGTATTCAAAGCCTGTTTTCTCAACGGGGTAAAACGCGGGGGGGGGGCACATTAAATCCAAACTTTACTGTCAGGTATCGGGCCGAAAAATATCGCCGCGAATTTGAGACCCCTGCCTTAGAGAAACAAATGCTGTGACAAATGAGTTGAGTCGAGACTTCGGTAGACTACATAGTCCATTTAGGATCTATTAGTCCAGGGGTGGGCAAACTTTTTGTGCGGAGGGCCACATTGACAAATGTAAAGTATTTGAGGGGGGGGGGGCCAGGTCTATTATATTATGTCCAATTTTCACATGTGGATAATCATTTCTATATATTAAAATAGGTAAATTCGCATTTTAGAATCACGTGACAAAAGTCAAGGACTGTTTTAAAAAAAAATAGAATAAGAAAGAAACAAACAAAATAACTTAAAAAACAAAGTAATGCTTTAATTTCTAAATGCCTTCGAGGGCCGCATAAAATCAGTTGCAGGGTCGCAGTTTGCCCACTCCTGTGTTAGTCCATATTATGGGTCAGTACAAACATGGACAAAGGCGAATGTTCTAACCCAGTCGTTCTTAACCTTTCTGGACTGACGCACGTACTTGAAATTGTCTGCTTCATTTGGGGACCAGCGCTTGATGCCCTGACAACATTGCACAATGATAATCTGTTACTAGTGTTATTGCATGATAAGCTGCTCCTCAGTGTCCTCGGCATACAGTTATGTTT